ACCTAAATACAGTTCTAATAGAACATGAAGGGACCGAAAACAACCCATTCTTCGAGCTCCAGACCCTCATATCTCCTCACGCCTTCCCAGTACGATATCTCTCCCTAGCCGAACTCTCCAGATCCACACCTCCAAATAATCTCGCCTTCCTACATCACTGGTCTACCCTTACCCACCTCTCTCTGCACATCTCGATTTCCCTCGACTTCTGGCTCTCCTTGTTCCACGCCGTCCCACACCTCCGCTGGGCATACTTCGACATTGCCACTGGTACCCGGCCGTTCGGTATCAGCGCCGACACCCCCACTCCTCCGCAGTGTACCCTGCTAGAGCTAACCACGCTGACCGTCGCTGTGCGCGGCAGGCATGAACCGGACTCGGTGTTCCCCCTCAGCTCTCTTTTTACGGCCCTCCATTTACCGGCCCTGCGCACGCTCGCGCTCTCCCCACCCGGCGCGAACGCCTGGGAGGACCACCGTGCGCTGCGCGAGCTCTACACCGTGCTCCGCTCCACGCCGGCCGTGACGACGCTCGCCCTGGAGGACACGACGCTCTCCTTCGACGTGCGCGCCCTCCCCGCGCACATCCCCGCGCTCCCCGGCGTGGAGCCCATCTGGGCGCACGCACCGGCGCTCGCGCATCTGACGCTCGCCCTGCCCGTCGCGTCCTCGCGGCACAGGGAGCGGCGCGACGCGGCGCTCGCGCTGTTCGTGCGCCATGTCTTCTCCGCGGAGAGTGGCTGGCTGGACCTCCAGAACCCCGGCTGCCCCATTCGCGCGGTGACACTGAGCAATGGGGGCCAGTTTCATCGTGTTTGCGACTCCGTGATGGCGAGTGTTCGGGAGCATGCCGCGAAGGCGCCGAACGTGGCCTTTGGGATAACTTCAGACTCGGCGGGCACGGCCGCTGTGGATATGAGGAAGGAATGGGGGTCGAGGATGTGAAGGCTTCACTATCAAGTCATAACCAGCGGAGAACTTGCGTCGAAATTTAACTGTATATGTGATAGGTACTTGTAGCAATGGGAATGTTCTGACCAGGTTCTACCTATGGCACGACTCGGAGAATGTCGTTGTAATGCTAGATCTTATCCTTGTACTAACTATGGAATTCCAGCGTTATTGACTATGCACGTTCACAGGCGTGCCAGAGGAGGTGGCGCGTCGAGAGCAGAACGGCCACCGCCGCAGCAACCCCCCGCCTTCCTCTTGCCCCCGCCGTCCCCCAACGCGCACCCGCGCTGCACGGAGCCAAGGCTCGTCCGCGTAATCGAACGCGCGTCGCCGACGTCGTACCCCCGGCACCTTCCCGCTACGCGCGGGCCAAAGAGGCCAGTGCTAGGCCCGAGCGAACCGCGAGGGCGCACGCAACTCCCGCGCGCGCTCCTGCACAGCCAGGATCCCATGCTCATCCAGACGATGATGCGGCGCGCGTCCAAGTCAAGGCCCGCGCGCGCTCTCAGCCCGCAAAGCTGAGATGGCCGGAGAGCGCGTGCGGCGAAAGGCGTGGCGGGCAGCACTCCCAGTGATGTGTTCCAGGCTATCTCGCACGAGGCCCACTCCTGGATCAAACGCTCCTTGCGTGCGCCTGGAGACGGAGGCGACGCGCTTGAGGGAACCGGGGGGTTGGGGGATGCGGGACGCGCAATGGGAGACGTGCACGATGACGGCTGAAAAATATACTGGATTGCCGCCGCCGCCCCTGGCTGCATTCCCAACACGGTCTTCCTGGGGATTCGGATGGAGGGTTCGGGCTGAATGGGCGGATGTGGAGATGCAGCGGAAAGGGCGGTGGTGATCGTAAGAGAGCTTATTTGCGCGTGAGGTGGCAAAGGTGGTAGATGGTGGTGGGAACAGATGGGCCTGAAGTCATGGTTTGCTAGAAGAGGGCAGTGACGATCGAAGAAGCGGCGTGCGGTGGGTGACGGAGGGATCGTATGAGGCGTATGAGGCGTCAATGTAGCGCAAATCTGCATTGAAAAAAGAAACAAGTCAGGGGAAATATATCGAAGACGACGTCATATTTTGAAGCAGAAAACACGTACCTCTTACAACGTCCTCCCGCCCCGTACTCGTTCCTCTCCACCTCCTTACTCCAGCGCCCGCCCATCGCTTGCCGCTCTCGTTCCGCGAGACCAATCCGCAAGCCTTCAGGCGGCATCACGCAGCGTCCGTTCCGTTGGCACCCTCGTCAGCATCCCATTCCGCAGTCTCCGCCCTGCTCCCAACTGACAGCTTCGATGCGAGCAACCTGGAGGGATCGTCTTGGAACTCGAAGTCGGCGTCCCAGTTCTCCTCAGGCTTGGCATCTGTGGAATAGCGACGCGTCAGCATGCATGTTCAGGAGCAGGACGCGTGCAAGAATGGCGAATGAGTAAGGATTAGTACCTATGGTGTCGGTTGGAGCAGGTTGTGTCTGGACGGAAGCCATGCTGGTGCTGGTGGAGGTCTGTGTCCGCTATCAGAGTTGCTGCAATGGTCGGGTCATGCACACGTTGAGTGTATGTAGCGTTATAAACGTTTCTGGAGGATCGGTTCTTGAATACGAGTTGTGCGTGCTCGCCGTCGTGTCGGTGTATGATGCTGTCGTTGTGGACGTCGAACAAAGAGTGTTGCTTGACGTGTCTTGAGAGCGTGGAAATCCAAATGTGTCGGTGTTACTAGTAGGTGGTATATGATACCTCTCCTTGTAGACCTCGTTAACAATAGCAAACAGATAGCAAGGTTTATGGAGAGTGGCGGCAGGAGGAGAGCGAGAATTGAGCGAGAACCTGCTTTGTTCTTCGGTTACCAGGGCCGTGGCAACCATTGGGGTTAGGGTCTATTTTGAACATATCGTCCTGATCACACTCTCATCACTATGGAGGCTCTCTCTCATGTTCTTGACAACAGTCCGTATCCGAGACTCCCACAACAACTTTTCCGCCCATTATTCGAACATCTCCATGGCCACCGACCCACGCTCTTCGCTCTCTCTCTGTGCCCCAGGGCCCTCCGCGCAGACGCCGAACGCGCGCTGTACACCCGCCTCGCCGCGTCCTCTGCCGCCGACCCATCCCTACACACCGCATTCCTCACAACGGTGTCCCAGAACCGCCGTCTCGCATCCTACGACTTATAGTCTGAAAGTACAATATCTCGGCCTTGTTAAAGTACAAATGAAAATTATCTCTTTGTTGATACTTATCTTCGGTTTGTAGTTTGTGTGGGGGATAATTTAAGCACTCGTCGCTTAATCTCGTACCATTCACCACTGACAACTGCAAGCACTGGAATCAAAGTCGACATGTGGAAATTATACTTTATTACTACGAGTAAATAAACAACTTCTATACAACCCAATACCGAAATCTCGCGTCAAAGAGCGCTATGGTCAGTGCACTGTATGCCGAATACTTATCGAACAGGTGCTGACCTTAGATCTTACGATGGACAAGCACCTGCGCTGCCGTTCTCCAGAGACCCCCTCAACCAGGGTCCAGTATCGGGTTTCGAGAAGCCCTGCACGTCCATTTCCGAGAGGGGGTTTAATTTGGCCCGAAAACCAGAGCGGGCAAACGGCCACACTCCGACGAATACGTCGTTGATCCTCAGTATCCTCAATCGAGCTCGAGTCGAAGGTAAATTTTTCGCGGGCAGCCCCCTGGCAATGGAATATGTAGCAAGTTGCACGCAGCCCGAAGAAAAGAAAAGAAAAGTGTCGTTCACAAAGGTGGACAAACACGTGAAGAAGGCGCCCGTTCAGAAAGCGCTCCAAACTTGGCGTGCGCGTCCGCAGCTATCATGGTCCATGCATATCGTCATCGCAGCTGAACACCAGCGCGGGCAAAAGACCCCGCTCCGAGGAAAACATCGTTGAAAATTTTGATTCTCAATCGAGTTCGAGTCGAAGGTCAATCTTTGCCGACAACCCCCTGGCGATAGAACTATCTGACAATTTGCATGCAGCGTGAAGAAGGTGAAAAAAGGGCCGCTCAAAAAGGGGAAAAAAGATGGGAAGGAGGGGCCCGTTCAGAAAGCGCCAAAGGCCTCGCCGAATCAGCGCGGCGCCCGCAGAGATCGTCCATCGACATCGACATCGGACCCGGACACCAGAGCAAAGAATCGACCCCACGCCGACAAGCATGTCGTTGAGAATGTAAATTCTCAATCGACCTCGAGGCAGAGGTAAAAAAATCAGGGAATTCCCTGGTGGTAGATTTATCTGACCATAAAGTTGCAGCCCAAAGAAGGCGAGAACGGAGCCACCCCCCACAAGCAAAATGCGACAAGAAGAAGGCGCCTGTTAAGGAAACAGCAAAGCGCCCATCGAATAAACGCGGCGCCCGCATCGATCCATCGATATCGCCACCATCGAGCTCAGTGTCACCGTCTCCCCCACTGAAGTCACCGTTGCCCCACTTGCCGGCATTCACTGGGTTCGCGGACCCTATCACCGTCAATGTGCACCACACGCCATCTCCCCCGGATGGCTCTGTGCGATGGACTTTGAAACTACCGCATGCGTACAAGTGGGTTGGTTGTGGCCCAAGACGACAAAGGTGCAGACACCCATCGCCGTGCCCATCGCCGAGCCTCATCCACAGGCCGCGCGGCGTCGCGGAATTCCGTTCGCGATGTGACGTATTGGGTGAGAGAACCGGCCCACATCCCTCGTTGGAGGGGAGGGGCGCACGGCGCACGCCCAGGCAATAAGCTATGAGAAGAAATTGGAAAGGGTCAGTGAAGGGCGAATTGGGAGCGCACTGGTTGCGCACCTGATGGATCTATGGACAGGAGCCTTGAAGTTATGGTGCGAGGCAACGAGTCGTGTTGAAGCACCGACACTCCCCATACTTACCATTCCTACGCCATGAATTTGGCGCCGCTATTTTCAAACAGCTTCTCCGTCAAGCTTTCAAATCTTCAAGCTTCAACCCTCCCATGTTTTATACGATACGACCATTAACTACCGTGCTGAGCCTCCGCTAAACTGAAGGGCGCCGGGGCGCGAATACTATATCGGGTATGGTGTAACGGCTAACATTGCCGCCTCTCAAACTTTAAAGAGTGTCGCGGCAGCTCGGGGTTCGATTCCCCGTACCCGAATCTTTTTTGGTCGACACGGCGGAAGGAGGGCTCCTGCCGATGATATTTGAATTTTTGAGTCAAATAGGGAAAAAATGTTGTAGAAGAACGAGTATACTCACTTATTATCTACCTCAAATGCCTCGTTCAATCAGCCACCACCATCGCATATCAGATAATCGTCATCAGATGCGGACAAAAGGAGGACCGTATATAGATCCAGATGCGATTGGGAGGCTGTAAGGGCATGCACACAAATTGAAAACATATCAAGGTCATCATCAAAAAAACATAATTACGAGGGTGGGGGCAACAATGACGCATGCAGTCTTTTAAATTCGGTGTATTGCACAGCGCGCCGAACGCTGCAAACCCAAGACTCAGTCACAGCCTGTAAGCCGTCACCGGTCACCAGTCCCAAGAAACTCATCGATCAGAATACATACAGAATACAGAAGCAGGAGCTGCGCAGTGCCCCGCCAGTATCGTATCCAGCATCGCCAACTTGAAACCGTCCCCGAGGTCAATCAATCAAACCAACCATCCGCATCTGCACCGCAAGCGCACGTGCGCCGCGAGCTCAGAAACACGCCACGTTCCAACAAACACCCGAAAGGCACACCGAGGAGCGCAAGGCAAGGCAAGGAAGGACACACGGAAGAAAGACACGCGATAGTGGATAGTGCGCTGGTTATTAATGCAGGGTACAGAGGGGACTACGGGTAGACGCAGAACACAGCGAGAGGGCAGTAGATAGATAGAGATAGACAAGCCGTGGAATGGATGGGGCGTTCTAGATAGACAGCACGCAGCCCAGGAGATAAGATAAGAAACAGCGTAAGATGTGCAAAAAAAAAAATGGAACAGAGCGCTATAAACGCGCGCGCGACTATGGGATACAGCTACAAAGAATATGGGATGAAGGTTAGCTAGCGGTGTTACAATTACAGCGTTCGTGATCGGGGTAGTACAAAGTGGTTACAAAAAAAGAAGAAAAAGGTCGAAAAATGCGAAATGGTAGGGCGTAGCATTCTAAGTGTTCGTCTTGAAGAGTCTTGGTCTTGATCGTAGGTGGAGGCGTAAAGCGTCGAAAATATACATGAAAAGGTTTGGAAATCATCGCTCCGTGCAAAAAATCAAACACGCGCACCCGCGCGCCTCCACGACCCCGCCGCGGGCCCACCAGCCGCACCCACCGCACCCGAGGGCGCAGCAGCAGAGGACCGGTGCACCGGCGCGCCCCACCGCCCGCTCCCGATCGGCGCGCGGTACTTCGGCACCTCCTGTGCCTCTGCGCGCGCTGTGGGCGTCGGTGCAGCGGCAGCAGCGGTGGACTGGGGCTTAAGAATAGCGGCAGCAACGGCGCTGTGCTGGGGCGTGGGAGCAGGGGCAGCAGCAGCCCTGGGCTTGGGTTTGGGCGTGGAAGCGGATTTGGAAGCAGAGGAGGCCTTGGAGCCGCCGCCGAGCATGACGCCGCCCGTGAGCACGGTGCTCACGCCGCCCTGGTACAGGTACTTCGTGACGTCTTTTTTGGTGCTGTCGATCCACGCGCGGGGGGCGGGTGCTGGTGCGGCTGGCGCGGCGGCGGGGGCAGGGGTAGAGAGCGAAGGCCGGGGAACGAATGCGGGCGGGGCGGGTACGCGGCGCGCGAAGGCGGGCACGCGGCGCGCGAATGCGGGCACGGGGCGCGTCGCAGCGGCGATGAGAAGAGCGGTGGGGAAAGAGGAAGTGGTGGGCTTGGTGGAGTCCAGGAAGTCGAACGACGACGCGGACGACGCGGAGGTGAGGCTCTCCGCGTCGCTGTCGTACGCGGAGCCGAAGGAGGAGGGCGTGGACGAGCGCGAGCTCGATGGCGAGCCCGCCTCCGCCTGCTCCTCACCCGCAGACGAGTACGGGAAGAGAGGAGACGCAACGGCGAGGGAGGCGGGGAACGCGTCCCGCGTGGGCGTGGGCGAGAGCACGCTCGTGGAGAGCATCGCGAACAGCTCGTCCGCCTCCTGCTCCTCCTCGACCGCGAGCAGGCGCTGCGCGAGCGTCGTACCGCGCGTCTGGGACCACGCGAGCGCGGAGTGCAGCGTCGCGCGCAGGGAGGCGGCCTGCACGCGCGCCTTGCTGATCCGCACGTGCGTCTCCTCCTCCTCTCCGGCGGCGAGGGCAGGGGCAGAGAAGGCAGATGCGAGGCGCCGCGGCACCGCGGCGGCCTCGGACCACACGACGGCACTCTGGGCTGGGACGAGCCCAGAGGCAGAGGCGGGGTACGCGACGCTGACCACGCGCGGCTCGATGACCAGGGCAAACGCGCTCGTCGAGAGGAGCGGCATGAACACGGCCCACGCGACGCCCGCGGCGCGGCACGCGACGGCGACGGGGCGCGGGGCGGGGCGCCGGGCCCGCCGAAGGCGAGCACTAAACGGGAGGCGCGGTTCGGGACGTACGCGGCCTCCAGGGTGCGGCGGAGGGCGGAGTGGAGGAGCGCGAGGGTGGAGGGGGCGAGCGCGGGGAGGAGGGGGCGCGTGAGGAAGGCGATGGCGTGCGTGAGGCTGGCCGGGGCGAGGGTCATGGGGACGGCGAGGACGGTGGTGTTGGTGAATGCCATTTTTTTGATTGGGTCGTAAGGGTGCAGAAGAGAGCTTCGTGAAAGGGCTTGTAAAAGGGATCGACCGGCGATTCAAGGACGTGTGATAATTGCGAAAATGAACTGGGAATGGGCGTCTAAAGGGGATGAAACTGAAAACGAAAGCCGCATGTAAGACGCGAGGCTTGGAAGGTAAGGAGAGGCAGATACACACCTGGGTAAATTGAGAACTGGAGGAGATGGTAGAGGACGAAAGAGCAAACGAAGCTGGGCTGGCAATGAGCAGAATGGGTCAGGGGAAACCTGGTGAGGAATTCTCCAGCGACAACCGCCCCATATATATATGGGATAGAGGGACGGTAGGCGACAATAAAGGAGTCGGTGGCCCCATTGTGCGCACCAGCATTGTTCATATTAGCGTGCAATACGTGGCTGTGGACAATGCCTGTTTGGTCCAGATTTTGGTCACTCCCAAAAAGGAACGACAACCAAACACGCACTCCTACTCCGCGCGCGTGACGACCTGCGGGCTTGCGAGGAATCCTCAGTTTGCAGCTTTGCTCATAACATTGAAACTGTTGGTGAGACGCATAGATAATATTTATATCAGATGTCTCGAGCAACAAGTCGGGCAGACGTCCCCGAAAGCTCCACTCAGAGGTACATTTTTGAATGTTCGAGGTCCAGGTAGGCATGTAGTAGTGTACCATATTATATGAGCCACCGATTACATACAATGTACCATATGATATGGACTCACCGAAAAGTCGGTGGGTCGGTGGGTTACAATAACCATACCGGGTAGCTTACAAATATCACCAGTGTACCGAATCATATGGATTAACACCCCTCGGTGGTGCACCTAATTTCGGGCATATGCCCCGGGGATGCGGCAGCGGCAGCAGCCACGGCGCCGATGCCTAATTGAACCGTCCGCAGGCTCATTCCATGGGAATATATATTCGGCAGCGACAGCAGCCCTGTTGTTGATGTGTATTCAATTTGTCTGCAGCCTATACAGCTTAGAATCTGATTAATAGACATGGCATTTTGGCTAAGTGGTCACGATCGAAAGGCTGTGAGTTAACGCTGGTGGGTCGGTCTACAAAGTCAATGGTTCAATTCTCCAGCATGGCAAAATTTCTGATAATGATAAAATTCTAACTGCCAGCCACCTTTATTGCAGGGCTCACAAACTATATCAACAACTCTTTTTGCCCCGGGGCCACCCAGCAAATAGCATCGGACGGCAATTGGTTCGGCATCGGACGGCAGTAGGTTAGGAACATGTGGGTTCGGCAATACAGAATGAAAGCAAATAATATTGGAATATAGCAGCAGCAGCAGATTTTCAATGACACATCTACATATTTTTATCCTCCAATGATACAATGTATGAATCAATTCTTTTTTCAAGGTTCTCGAATGCCTTGGAGGCAAGGTCGTGAACTTTGAGCTTTTCCAGCTCGGCAATATATAACCTGTGGGCGGCATCTTTGTATGATATGCCAAGCTTCTCTTGCAAAGCCACAATGTCGGCATGAAGAGTAAGGCGCTCTCGGTTATTCAAATCCTTTGTCTATATTAGCCATTTTTATGATACAAGCTTATCATGGGGCTTACGGGATTCGGAGGGGTGTTGATTTTTGCTTCTCCTATAAGATCTTGCATACGATTTGCTATTGGCAAGCCCTGTATAAATGCAACAGTCAGTATAAAGAGAGTCGGCATTGATTGACAAAATATGAGAGCGGGCCCGAATCAATACAGGCCCGAATCAATACAGGCCCGAATCAATACAGGCCCGAATCAATACAGGCCCGAATTAGCAAGACCACATCCAAATAGATATGGGCCCGACTCCCGAGTAATACCAATCCAAATCAGCACTGGGCCGAACCAGACCACATCCGAATCGGCAACCAGACCACATCCGAATTGAGATTGGATAGCAAGGAGGGTTTCCCATATATAGAGATAGGCAATAGAACTACTTACCTCCCCTTGGAAATTTGCAACCTTCAAATCAGACTTAACCCGATATGATTCAAATGCATTGTCAAGTGCAGTGACCATGAATTGGGGGACAATATAGTGTTGTCCATTGGGTCCGATGCCGATCGTATATCCATCAGGGACATCAGATGGTGTTACAGATTTCTGGTTATTTTGCATAACAATTGAGATGAGAGGAGCAACGATAAATTTCTATATAACTTGATCAATTTTTATATAACTTTGTCCGACCACAACATCAGATAAGACAAGATTGATGTCTATTTATATTTGGTTGGTCACATGGTCACATGTTGGATTTGATCAGTCGATTGATGTTCAAGTTTTTCTTCCTGCCGTATCCGACTCCCCTTACACAGTGCTAGCTTTTACTCTACCACATCTCTCCTCTCTCGTCATCGTTACCACTTGACACAATCTCAACATGTCA